TAATTAATTATTTAAAAAACATATTATACTAAAACATAATATAAAAACATTACCTCAAAACCATTTTCAGGACCCTGATCTACGAAGTATTATCAGTTTATCACGTTACCCAAACTAGTCGAATTAGGGCATACCGTAGCTCGCTGGGACAGTTGTTTGTTTCTCACGAAAAAGAAAGAAAAATATTTACTGTATTTCCATAATAGTTTCTCCCATCTTTGGAAGCCAAGACTGGATTCTTCTGTAGGTCATTATAAAGTCGAAGCATTCTTATTTTACGATAGAAGGAAGCTCCCTCGGAAATTTTCTCGAGAAAATTTCAGTCTCCAATAATGGCTGGTAGAAAGTTGGTTCGCGATTTGTTGCTTGCAAGACGGCCTCTTTCTCTTCATTTAGCATCTCAACAGGTAGCTGATATGAATGCTGAAATTTCATTAAGCTGTTGTTTGTTACATATGAAGTAGTGTTAAAGAATCAATTTTTCCTTTTTTTTTTTTTTTTTTTTTTTTTTTGGTGCCGATTGCTTGAATTGTTGTTCATTGGAATTTGCTTGTTAGGGTTCGAATGGGAGATTGAGATTGATATCGGTAAATGGATACTCGGGTAATCGTCTATTCAGTGTGTTTAATGAGTTTTCCCAGAAAGTCAAGGGTGAAGCCAAAAGGTATTTGGGCATGTAATTTCAAAAGCTTAGAGCTTTTGCCTCTGCTCCTTAATTCATAGACCCTAAAATTTGGATTCCTATTTTAAATGATTCCAGAAAAAATTTTCCTTCTTGTACTGCTATTATCAAATTTGTGTTTTCCTATTTTAGTGGGGTTTTATTCCCTTGGTTGCAGCGACCCAGAATTTCAGAAATCGGTTAAGGAGTTTAAAGAGAAGGCGGAAGAGCTTAAAGGGATGAAAGAAGAGTTGAAAGTTAGGTAATAATATATGTAATATAGTGTTGTTTTTTTGCATAACGGTAGGATTTTTAGGTAATAGGCTGAGGCATACTGTTGTATGTCAAGGGAGTGCCTGAGATGGTCAAATGGCGTGCAGAACGAAGCAGACAACAGAGCAGCTCTACAAGCATGTGGATGGTGTGTGGTCGGAGGCTGAAGCTACAGCTAAAAAAGTCAGTTCTAGTTTTTTTCTTGTTGTATATGTCCAAGTTGTTTTCATCTACTAACTTACTTTTCCAAACTAATGTGTCGCATTTTATTGGTATATTTTTTTGCTTAACTTAATTGCACTTCCCATATGTGCATGTTCATGGGAATGTTCATGTTCAATGCGTGGATTTTCTTTCTGAAATAATTTGTAATGATCTTAACTTAATTAACGAGGTTCATCAATATGGTATAAATGCACCTGTCTATCATTAAAATTGCCACGCACACTTTAGGTTCAATATTATCACGTATACACTTTATATGTCCAATATGTGATAGTTTAGGACTCCGCTAATGGTAACCTAGATTTTTCCATGTGTATTTAGAGTATCTGGCTAATTGTCTCTGATATTCTGGATTATACAATATACCTGTGTTTTCCATGTGTATTTATTATTGGCTGTTGCTCTAAGGTCATATCCCAAAGTTGTAGGTGCAGGCCTGCCAATTTTTCTGTTTCAGTGCAAATGTTACTTTGAATATGTGATTTTTATATGTTTAGTTCCAGGAAATGGTATTGTTGCTTTACCACAACTGTCCAAAGGAACCCCCTCTATGCTATTAATGTTAGAATTTCATTTAATTGTTGATTACGCATTTTGTATGTTTCTGCCAGCATGAAAGAGAAAATTTCTTCTGCCACAGAGGAGGTCTGGCTGCTATTCTGATTGTTGATGTTTTAAATCTCGATTAGCCATTTATTAATCAGTTATTGTATTTCACCAGGTTAAGGAAACTTTTGGGATTGGGAAACAAGAGTCTTCAGAGTATAGTGGTGCTGCATCTGAGAATGGGAGTGGCACTAGCACACAAAATGGAGGTAAGGCATCGTTTGGGGCTGGGGAAAAGGAGCACAATGAGTCTGGCTCCGCTGATACTGCAGAAACTTTGTTTGGAAAAATTAAGATGGGCATTTCTTCTCCAAAGGTCTTCCAAAAGTGGAGGGAAGCTAAGGTCATTGACATTGCCAAGAAAGGATATGACATTGTGAAGGATGAACTAAGCAGCACACCAAGTAAGAGAAAGCACCTTGAGTATACACCTTCCCCATCAATGGGTGAAAGAAGTACAAGAACGGATATTGTTATTTTACCCTCACAGCAATCCCGTTTAGGAAAAAAGTGGGAGGCCTTCAAAGAGAAGGTAATGTATTGGCAGCATGAGTTTTCATGAAATGTCATTAAGAGAAATGGCAAAAAAAGTTTCACCTGCTTTTCTTTTTCTTATTTTGATGATGGACTCTCTTTCTTCTCCTTCATTTAGATGCAAGGACATCCATTATTCAAGCACATTAGCAGGTTTGGTGAACCTGTTGCAACAAAGAGCCAAGAGGTATGTACCGATCCTGTTCTATTCTCATTTTTCGTATTTTAATCCTTTGGTTTATTGCTCTTCCTGAATAGGGTGTAGATTGCCCTTGTTTATATCTAAGTGCTCAGTTTACATGGCAGCCATGGTATATCCCTATTTCTAAGATGCTAGGGGTTTTACATCCCTTATTCAAGATATATTCAAGGTTTCCTTTAGAAATTGAGACAGGAATATAGCATGTGATGGCTGACTATTTTTGTATGTGTGCATAAAACATTTCAAAAAAAAAAAGGTAACTTTTTGGGAATCTTATGAGGAGCTAAACTTGTTTATAATGGTGAATTTAAAGTTTGTTGAACTGTTGCAAAAAGTGTGCCTAGGCACCGTCTAACTGCCAGGCTTTTCTTTTATTTTAATTTTTAGATTTCCTGATTAATTTTGGGATTTTTTTGTAAAACTAACAAATAAAAGAAAAATCCCTAGAGTGCTTAGGTGGTGCCTAGGCACTGCCTAGGTGCTAGGCGGTGGCCCAATGCCCACCATTGCCTAGCACTTTCTGCAACATTGACTCATCATCTTTTAACCAACTTTGCTGACCAACTGGAAAATCTTGATTTCTAGATTGTGATCTTAAATTTGTATGTTGGCATTAAATTGTGCTAAGTTAACATTTCCTTTCTGGTAAACAAAAGGACATTTTTCTGCATGTCTTTTATTTCATATTATTTAGTTCCTTTCTAGCTGTTAAGACTTTCTAATCCCATGCTCATAATACTTGCTTGGCACTTAGCTTTGAACCATGGTCTCCTCCCTGCTTGGCAGAAGATTGGGGGCCATCTGACCTAGGGCACCATAAGTCTACTTGAACTGATTTTTATTTCAAAGATACAATAAATGCTGTGGATGTCATTGGTTCTTGGATGTGGTGACCCAATGCCCACTATCACCCGGCACTTTCTGCAACATTGGTTCATTATCTTTTAACCAACTTTGCTGACAAACTGGGAAATCTTGATTTCTAGATTTTGATTTTAACTTTGTATGTTGGCATTAAATTGTGCTTTGTTAACATTTGCTTTCTAGGTAAACAGAAGGACATGTTTCTGCATGTCTTTGATTTCATAGTATTTAGTTACTTTCTAACTGTTAAGACTTTCTGATCCCATGCTCATAATACTTGCTTGGCACTTAGCTTTGAACCATGGTCTCCTCCCTGCTTGGCAGAGACTGGTGGCCATCTGACCTAGGGCACCATAAGCCTACTTTACCTGAGGCACCATAAGCCTACTTTACCTGATTTTCATTTTAAAGATACAATAAATGCTGTGGATGTCATTGGTTTTTGGATGAGTAATGTCATCATATATGCATTCTTTTCTCATTAACATCTAGTAACTTCATCTTTGGCTTCCAATAGTCAATATAATTCAGAATTTGTAATTCTATGAAACATACTTCCCCATTTGAACATGTGATTTACTTTGGGTTGGATTGGCAGATTGCAGAGGATATGCGGGAAAGATGGGAGACTAGTGATAACCCCATTGTTCACAAAATTCAGGAGTATGCTACTGGTTCTCAATTTTTATTTTTTCCTCTCCCTTGTTCTTCATGTAATTTATTGCCACCCCCTCCCCCTCTCCCAACAATCCAAGTATCCACAAAACCTTAAACTCTGGATGCTGATTTCACAATTCTCTTTATGACAGCATCAATGAGAGTATCTTCCAAGAAACAGATGCTGCAACATCATTCAAAGAAATATGCCATCGTGATCCGTATGATCTTATTTTCTTTTGTTTGCTTCAGAATTTTATTTCATATACTTTAACAATCTCTGACCTTTCTTTTCTGGATCCTTTTTTCATTTTGGTATGTTATCAGATCTTTCTCTTTACCAGAGTTTGTGGCAGAAGTTCAGGAAGCAATCAAGCCCGTCCTTAATGCTTACATGAAGGTGAATGTGGAGCTTTGTATATCCAGTTCATCTTCTTCAATTCATCTGTCTAATCTTTCTCTCTTTTTAAGAATTTTTTTGAACTTTGAAACATGTCAGTAATCCAGCAATGAAAAAAAATTTGGTAAATGCAGGGAGATGTCGAAACGTTGAAGAAGTATTGTAGCCCTGAAGTTATTGAAAGGTGTAAAGCAGAGCATAATGCCTATCAAAGCCATGGTATATTTTTTGATAACAAGGTAAGAACATTAGAAGATGGTTAAGCATTATGCTTTTTGGTTTTAACAATCTGATTTCTCTTTCTATATTGTTTTTCTAATCTGATAACTTTATGTCCTCTCCCTTTTTCATTTATCTAATAATATAGAAGTTATAAAGTTGGAACAAAATTTTGTAAAAAAATCATATTCCTGATTTCAGGGATTGGTTTGGTTTTAAATGTTCCACTGGATAATATTCTTGGTACAAAGCATTGTTAACAATTTTTAGCTTTTCTTGCTGCAGATTCTACATATTTCTGATGTAGAAGTCAGAGAGACGAAAATGATGGGAACCTCCCCCATTATCATTGTCGCAGTATGAGTTCATTCTTCATTTTTCACTTTGAACTTGATTATAAGCATCTTAAGGTCTTAGGTCTTGCTTCTGTTTAGAAACACACTAATGCTCTGAGGGCACTTGTTTTTAAAATGTCCACAGTTCCAAACACAACAAGTCCATTGTGTGCGTGATAGAGGAGGAGCAATAACAGAAGGTGGAAAGGTAAACACAATGGGTTATTTTTCCTTGTTGGTAGCATATAATTCCGCATTTATCTATTTTTTCCATTTATAATATCTGCAAGTATTTCTAACTGATTTAATTGAAAAAATTATGGTTTAACGTGAAACTTACATGTTCAGAACTACACTTCTTTCCTATCATTGTGATTTGTTGGCTTCCAGAAATCTCAAGAGTTCGACTCAGGTCTTTTCTGAAATTTATTTGTTTCACAGGACACAATCCACACCGTATATTATGCTTGGGCCATGCAGCAAGTGGATGTGGAAGAACTTGGAGAACTGGCGCTTTATCCAATATGGAAGCTTAGAGAAATGCAACAAATGGGTGTGCAAGCCCTCATCTAGACTTTTATTGTCAGGATCCCATCTTATTAATGGGTTGTCTGGTTTCAATTTTACTCATGTTCGTCATTTATGCTGAGTTGCTCCTTGTAGTGTTGGTGTTTTTCGGGGAACATTTAACTGATATACATTTTTTAATTTATTTAATGAAATGCTGAAATTTTGGGCACTCTTTACTTTTTCTGAGAAACAGTTTAGTTGCTGTTGAATGTTGAATGTATACTGGCAATAGATATGTCTGTTTGATGGTTTGTTGCAATCTGGGAGTTGGGTAAGGGAAGAGAATTGGGTTGGTAAAAAAGTTCTGAACCCAGGACTCAATTTTTGTTTTGGGATTGCTGTGCAGTGGCTGTAGGTTTTTAAGGGATGGGATCTTTAATGGAGGTTTAGTTTGACAAAGTTGTCTAGTGTTATTCCATAATTGTAAATATTAGAAGTGTTATATTATTTTGTCACAAAAAATATTTTAATGTTCGGTAATTACATTTTTAAAAATTTATTTATTATAAAATATTTAAATAGATATATTTTTATTAAAAATTGAAATAATTAATAATTTAATATATAATGTCCGAACAAAGATTTAAAAATTTTATTAAATTATTTAAAAGTTTTATTAATTTTGGGTAAAATGATTTTTATATTCCTTTGTGAAAAAGTTGAAATAGATAATTTATCAAATGTATAAGTTACGAAAAGTTTTGTACATATCTATAGCCAACATTGTCAAATTAAATTGAACCCTCACCCATGACTTGTTGGTCTAAATAAAAAAAGTTTGATTCTCCTTAAATAAGATCTCAAGTTTGAGTGTAGTAAATCGAGAAATAAATGTTAACAGAGTTTTTCTTTTTATAAGATTTAATGCGGTTTGACTTTAAATTAATCGGGTCAATGTAATTATCTCAGGGATTAGTACCAAAAAACTAAGCCGAACCCTCAATCACCTTTCCTCTTCCTGCCATATGTTGCAACCTACATTGAGCATTCCTTCTTCACAACAACATAAGCAAGCAAATATTGAATTAAACCTCACTGCTCTCACTCTACAAATTTGAGAGGGGAAAAAACTGGGAATGATTACGTCTGTTCCTCTGTTCCAGCTCCTTCATTTACACCAGAGACTTTCGTTTCGATTCCGGCACCAAGAAAGTGAAAAGGAAATCCAATGCGTTGAAGACAGCCAACACTATCAGCAAATTCTTAACTCCAAATCCGGCAGGGGACCCTTCATCCACCATGACCTTTCTTGATTCTGAGACAAATACAACAACCCTAATACACTCACTCTGACACCCACATTTCCGGATGCAGCTGATATGCCATGGCAATTCGCAAGTGGAGTGGAAAAATCTCTTCCAAGACAACAAAGGAGTAGTGAGTTGGTGAAGGAAGAAGAGTGGCATGCAACATGCAAGAGCTAGTTGTGCACATATCCACATATTGTACAAGCATATTCTCCCCATTACGAAAGAATGAAATCATTGAAGGTGCTTCAATAATTTTCTTCATTTTTAGGCATCGGGTGGTATATTGGTATGCTTTTTGCACACACCTTTCTGATTTAGTTAATGTAGACTATCCAAGTTAGGAGTAAAGAATTTATTTAACCCGATTTAGCAAATTAGTTAAAACACACTATGTCTTATTTGTTTTAATGAGTGATTATTATTTTGTTATATCAGTTGGTGATAAAAAATAATTTAAATTTTTTTATAGCCTTTAAAATTTTGAGGAATGGATGGTTGTCATGTATCATTTATATTAGTAAATACTTTATTTATTGATTAGATCATTTTAATTAATGATTTAATTGCATAATTTTCAAGAGAATTATAAAGCAAATCTAGGTGTAACCGATTTAATTTTGAAGGGTAATAGAGATGCACACATGGCTGTCAGCCGTTTGTCATGTGGTGTTTTCACCAACTAAGTCAAGTGGCTAGTTTTAATGCAAGTGGTTATTGCCACATCAGTGGTAAAGTGATTTGTTTGATGCAAATTTTCTATTATCTCCTGGGAAATTTCGAGCATGTTGCTAGGAGATGTTTTATACTATAAATACATTGAAATGTTCAAGCACATTTCAATCTCCAAAAGTTCATAGTCAAGCCTAACCCTACGCTACTACAAACTCTAACCATAGTTATTATTTATTTTTATTTGAGTTTCTTCATTGATCTATTTCATTTTAGGCACAATTCAATACTGCCTTCTTTAGATTTATGTTTCTTCCATTTCGGTTAAGTTCTATTTCATATTGCCAATGCACTGTTCACACTTCCTTCTAGCAATTTGGTTTTTTAGTGCTTCAATTTCTGCCATGAATTTTCTTTCTCTCCTAGGTCTTTTTTTTCTCTTTTTATTTTTAATAAACAAGCTAACATTTTGATCCTAATTATGAAAAACTCTTGATGTTTTTTCATAGCAATTGTTTATAGATCTTAATATAGGAATTTTCCATCATTTCTATAACAATTGTCTGGCCATAAATGCATCTCATCTTTTATTTAACTAGCATTATTCCTCTGCCTGGCAATTAAGTCTCATGCTTAGAAGTAATGAGAGTCGTGAAAACTTTTCTTTTTTACTTTGAGTAAAATGAGTGGTATGCTTTCATAATCCTATTTATCACGTAGTCAAAAGAAGATATTTTAGAAATAATAGAATTTATGAAGAATTATCCTATTATTAGCTTTATCAAAGAATCAGATATTAATTAATAAAATTAAAAAACAAACCCTTTTGTCAACTAGTTGACCATTCCTTAGGTATATAGCTCCATTCTATTTAGTGTGCAAAGGGAAAAGGACTAAAAACCCCTTTGCCAATTGGTCGTTTAATAGAACTTATTTTCTAACTTAAGAGAGTTACAAATAAATAGAAAAATAAATGTTACCAAATACGTCCAATTGATTCAAACAAAAACCACAACGTATCCTTATTCCAAAACAATTGAAAGTTAGTACCGTGTGGTCAAATCAAATTGGTTAAATGTTAATTTTGACCTTCAACTTTAAGGTTTTGTATAATTTTTATCTTTTAATTTTTTTGTGCTTTTTATATCCATTAATTATAAAAAATGTATTTTTTTATCATTTTGTCAATTATTCTATTAAGTTTATTTAAATATGTACATTTTTAATTATTGAACTTTTAAGTTAAAAACCAAAATATATATATGTATTATAAATTAAGAGATAAAAATATGTTTATATTATAAGTTAAAGAGCTAAAAATATATATTTAGCCAGATTTAATGAACTAATTGACTAAAGGATAAAAAGAGTATATTTTTCATAATTGAGAGAAAACAAGGCAAATAAAAATTTTGAAGGGTAAAAATTGTATAAACCTTAAGGTTGAGGGACCAAAATCAATATTTAACCAATCAAATTTGGATGATGGTTCATATCCTTTTCGAGATTTCCCTTTATTAATTCATCAATTAATTATCTCTTCAAAAAAACCTATTGCACCATAGTTTTAATATAAGGATTATATTTAGTTTAAAATTAATTGTTAATAGGTAGAATAATTTTTTTTAAAGTTTAAATTAGATGTTTTGTTATTTTTTGATGTGAAATTTAGTATTTTCAATTCTGTTAAGTGTGTTGATAACAAATTTTAAAATAAAGAAATCTAAACTTTGATATTATATAATAGTTATCTATGTAAATTTTAAAATAAAACTTGTATTTAATTTAAAATTAACTAATAATAAATAGAGTAACGTTTTTTATATTTAAGATAATTATGTGAAAATTTCGCACGTGCCACACCTGAAAAAATTTATTATGTGAGTTTTAAAATAAAACTTGTATTTAATTTAAAATTAACTAATAATAAATAGAGTAACGTTTTTTATATTTAAGATATTTATTCTTTTATTATATTCTTAATATGAGATTTTCTTAATTAATAAAAACTATTTAATAAAACTGTGAACCATCCAATTCAAACTTTTTAAATTTTGAATTATACAATAAAAATAAGTTTTTATAATTCTTTAATTTAAATTACTTATATATTAAATTACTCAAATTTCAAATTTTCAATTTTAGAAGAAGAAGATCACCACTTACTTACCTAGATGATTCGGTGTTCAAATAGTATTATTTGGACCTGTTTGGTTCAGTTTGTTGGAGTTTTTGTTTTTCTTACGCTATTTATGAGTAATAAATTTAAATTTTTATTGGAGGAAAAATTTAAAAGTTACTTTTAAGTATATGAAAAATTGAGTAAAAAATAAGTTTATGAAAAGTTTAAATTTAAAATTTTTAATCTTTTACTGTTTAGAATTTTTTTAAAATTAAAAAATATTTTAAAATATAAGTTTTTAAAAAAAATATTTAAACTTATAAAATATAAATAATATCAAAAAATAAAAGCACTTGAGAAGATGCACCAAATGCCTCTTATGTCAAAGATTCTAGCTTTTTTTTTTTTTAATTGTGTTTTATTTTTGGCAAATGACAATTTCAACTTGTTTAAACATTGTTTATTATTATGGCACTCGGGCAAATGACAATTTCAACTTGTTTAAACATTGTTTATTATTATGGCACTCGACAAATCCACCGCCATAAATCATTCATCTACAAGTCATATCCCCACTACTACAAGAAAAATAATTAACCCCAAAGAAAAAGTACAAATGCATATGCCCATTTCTCAGATGTTATCCGGTAGTTCTGGTAATATCTCCCCAGCTCTTGTAAAAAGGTTGTACCAAAAGTCCACATTATTATCATCCAAATTTAAACCGTAGCCGTCGTTGACTCTTTCCAACACTGCTAGTGGAATTCCTGCCTCACCTCCACCGCCGCCCACCATTTCATACTCCTTGCCCTTGGCCACCTCCGAGTTATCCGCCGACAACACTTCCGACCAAAAACTCTCATCTATCTCTGTGAAGTTCCCCTCCAAATCATCATACTTCATCGACATATTGTTGCCATTGTTTTCGCTCGTTGTTACCGTGGAGTCCATGTCGTCGCTGGTGGACCGCTGCGGTGAAGACACAACAACGTTACGACACGGTCCTTTGGCCGAATCCGGTGTCGGCAACAACACTTGACTCGGAGAATTAATCACGGGTTGATTTCTTTTAATCAGTCTCTTTTTTAAATGGGTGTGCCAGACGTTCTTGATTTCGTTGTCTGTTCTTCCCGGTAATCTTGCCGCAATTGCCGACCATCTGCCAAAAAAAAGCCAAAAACTTTCAGAATCTCCTTAGGTTTTTGTAAGAATTCATGACAATGTCTGTGTAAAATTATTTCTTTTAGCTACAGTATTCTCTTTTACAGTGAAATTATATTAAATTATAAAATAAAATTTATTAGATTAAAACTTAATTTTTACATAAAAGGACTCTTTTTTTTTTTCTAAAAATTTTAATTGTACAATTCATATAATTTAAAACTGTACTATATTTTGTTTTGATTATAATATGACTTAAAATTAAATAATTGAATGAATAATGATTTACGCGTCGTTAACAGTAACCAGTACTGGTGAGCTTGCCTTATTCATACAGATATTTTTAAATATTAAAAACGTGATTCGATTGGCTTATGAAAATGTCCCGCAAGGAATCTTTACAGCCGCACTTGATTTCTCACATAATATTCCAAAATGAATTGAGTTAAACTAACTTGGGTTCTGAATCACAAATTAGATCGGTTGATTTCGAGACTAAAATTAAAGAGCATATTCCAATATATATCTCTATTCGATTGCTGCAACGTACTGAACAACTAAAAAAAGAAAAAGAAAAAGAACTAAAAATTCATGAATTATGCGCACCTATTCCCAAGCATTTCATGCAGCTTGATTATGGTTTCTTCTTCTTCTTCGGTAAAGTTTCCTCGTTTAATATCCGGCCGCAAGTAGTTTATCCATCGCAATCTGCAACTTTTTCCGCACCTTAATAAACCTGAGATGAAGATTAAAAGAGAAGAAGAAAGCAGAAAATCAGAAAAGAGTCCTGGGTTTTAATATGCACATATATAATACTTTCAAATGAATGATAAAAGTAATTGTGCAGAAAATATTTAGTTTGGAAAAAAGAAATTAATTAATTACCCGCTTGTTTAGGGAGAGCTCTCCAGTTGCTGTGGCCGTGAAGTTGAATGTATTTGATTAAAATCTGATCTTCTTCAGGGGTCCATGGACCTTTCTTCAATCCCATTTTCTCACAGCAAGGAGCTCTCACCATTCTTGTTTCGCGGCCGGGGCGGCTTATCTATGAGTTAAGCAGCAGGAGCAGCTCTGGAGGTTGTCTTGCTGCTCTAAGATTGAGATGCACACAAGGAGAAAATAATATAATCTCAAAATAATAGCTAGGGGGTCCTGGGGTTATATATAGAGCAAAAGCCAAAAGTTGGTCTGCTAATAGGCAAAGTTCAAACTTCAGAGAGTCCCACTTTATAATTGATTTGCCCCTTTTTTTCTTTTCTTTTTTTTTTCTTTTTTTCAAAAAGGGCATACAGGGCGGCCAACAATTTCAACGAAACCTCCTTTCTGGATGTGGTGATGTTATTGGTAGGGTGGCCAAATAAAACGTGAGAGATTCATTTTTTTAAGAATAAAAGCTTAGGGTCAATTTCAGACTGATTATTTTTCAACTTGTTTTCAAGTGCTTTCTTCTTTCACCTTTTTTTTTTTAACAAAAGAATTATATTATAACTACATGTTTAGGGGATGTGGAATTAGGTGTTAATAGTCGAGTTTAAAGCCAAGAATGAAATGCCACAGCATTGAATCCTTACTATTGGGTCATGAAACGTGGTTGGCTCTTCTTTCACTTATTTAAATAGTATTGAAGATACGATATTTTTTAAAAAAATCATAAGCAATTTTTGGTAAAACTACGGACTAATAGGGAAAAAAAGTATTACTTAGTTTTTCCAAAACTAATTTTTTTTTCTTTTGATAAAAATTATAGATTCTATTGATTATTACAAAAATACATCAACTTCATTTATGACATACGTCTCATAGGCTAAAAAAAAACTATCTATAACATTAGCATATAGAGATGTGCCTTATTCAAATGAGTTAGTTAAGTATTAAGAGCTTCCTTAATAATAAGCATCATAAGGATGTTAACAAGTCAATGAAAGAGTTGCCCTATTTGGTCATACATAAACCCTAAGTAACTGTACTTGTAACACCAAAA